CACTACTATTCTCCCTCTACAGAATTCTCCAGGTTCTAACTATTACCCAAATACAAAAGACTCTAGATAACTCCCCAGAGCTTTAGACTCTATATTCAACTTCTACACAGATGCCCATAAACTCACCTTAAACTCAATATGCTGAACACCAAACATGTGATCTTTGGCAGTTTTCTACTGTCTCTAAAATTCTAGCTGCCCCTTGATTTGACTTCATCCTTTTACTTCAGTGTCATCCTCTACCATTCATACCCTTTTTCTGAATGCCTAGTAAAATAAAGTTCATACTTAATTTTTAATGAAGGCCTACTATAGGCTAGGCACTACTCCAAGTACTTTATATGTTTAACTCATTAATCTTCACAGCAATCCCATAACATAAATGCTATCATCTTCATTTTATGCTGAGGATAGCATCTTGCGTAAGCTATTAAGTAGTGGAGTCAGTATACAAACCTACATCCCATGCTTCTTACTTTTATACCATGTAATTTCTCATAAATGTCTATATATGCCAAGCACTGTCCTAGGGAGTCAGGTAACTGACAAGAAAAAAAATGCATATGCCTTCATGGGACTCATAAACAGAATAAATAAAGAGCAGAAGAAACTTAGAGATTATTAAAAAGTGTCAGAAAATAAATAGGATTTTATAACAGAAAATTCATAGTAGTGGACACCTAACAGTGATGAAAGAAAGTCTCTTTGAAAATAACTTTTAAGGTAAGACCTAAAGGATGAGAAGGTGCAAACTATACAAAGAGGGAAGGGATATCCCCAAGATTCCTGGGTCATTAGAAAGCACAAAGATGGTGTTATGGATTGCTCTGTGTTACCCCCAAATTCATATGTTATAGCCCTAACCCCCCAGTGTGACTATATTTGGAGAAAGGGCTTTTTAAAGAGGTAATTAAGGTTAAGTGAGATTAGTAGGATGAGGCCCTAATCTGACAGCACCAGTGTCCTTACAAGGAAAGAGAGATCTCTCTACCCCCACCCCACACCCTATACACAGAGAAGAAGGCCCATGTGTGGACCCAGTGAGATGGCACCTGTCTATAAGTCAGGAAGAGAGGCCTCACCAGAAACCAACTCTGACGGCACCTTGATGATAATGACTTCTAGCCTCCTGACTTGTGAGGAAAATACATTTCTGTTGTTAAGCCACCAAGTTGGAGGTGTTTTGTTATGAAAGCCCAAATAAACTAAAATGAATGGGTAAAACCTAGATATTTATGGGAACTGACCAAAACCATTGTGCTGGAATAAAGAGAGTAATGGAGATAATAATATGCCAAGACTTAAGTCCCCAGATGACAGATGAACCAGAAATGAGATGACCACAAAAACAGCCCCTGCTGCAGGAGTTTTAAGCTGGTTACTACTGAACTTGGAAATGTATGGTGCAGCTTTTGTTCTCCCAGTGACTGGGAGTCACTACAATACAGGAGTGGGCAAAAGGACATTTACAGTTGTTCGTATGGAAAAATACATAAAACAAGAATAAAAATAAACACTGTGTTTCATGCACTCACAACCATAAACCTACGTTTGCCCATCCCTGTATAATGACTAGAATATAACAATGTATATTCCAGTCTGGAATGCACAAAACAGCCCCACACAACAAAGAACTGAACATTTCCCAAAATGTTGACAGCGTCCTACTGAGGAATAATTGCTAATGCGTATGATTTGTTTACTCAAGGACCCATGAAAAACCAAGATTTAGCCTTTTTTTGTTGTTGCTGTAGTTCTTATACCACTACGGATATTTGTGAGCTAATTCTGATGAATTCTTAAATGTGTTGTACCTATGTGCAAGGAATAGTGCTGGATACTTTGGAGCAAGCCCAAATGAATCAGATACCAATCCCAGGCCCAGGGGCCAACAGTAAGAGTGATATAACACCACACTTCCACAAGTCTAAGGCACCACTGGTTATAAGATGTATCATTTTACATTAAGTACTTAAATCATGACATCAACTGTAAGACATATCCTAATTTCAGAGCTCTTAAAATGTGAAAATATACATCTCAAATAAATAAAAAAAGAATATGAAAATAGCTAAAACAAAAATAGTGTTAGTGGTATAAGAGTCCATAGAAGGGAGGGATTGCTTCATGAAGAAAATGTTACTTAAGCTCTGGCTGTTGTGGCTCAGTGGATTGAGTGCCTGCTTGTGAATCAAAGGGTCACCGGTTTGACTCCCAGTCCAGGGCACATGCCTGGGTTCCAGGAAGGGGCACGTGAGGTGGAAACACACACTTATGTTTCTCTCTCTCTCTCTTTCTCCCTCCCTTCCCCTCTCTAAAAATAAATAAATAAAATCTTTTAAAAAAAGAAAGAAAAGTGGTATGTAAGATCCATCTTGAAGGATGGGTAGAACCAGGAAGAACAGAGATTGAGAGAAGGAATATTTTTAGAAAGAGGGAATTGCAAGAGGCAAAGCATAACAACAATAAAGTGAAAGATGGCTAGAGAGAAATATTTAAAGAGTAAACACTTTTGAAAAATTGAAAAGACAAGGGTTAATAAAGCTTTGTATACAACTAGGCTAAAGAGGCTAAATATTATTACATATGCTTGGGTAATGGTTCTCAAATGTTTTTTTTAATACCCCAATACACTTTAGGGCTATAATATACATCAAAAGTATGGTTCATTCTCACAGTGATTCTCAACTACAAAAGATGCAAAAGGAAAAGAGATTAATTCTTATGGGAATACAATTTGAGAAAGACTGCAGGACTTCTAACTCCACCTCACTTTGAGAATCACTTAGGGAACCCCCAGAAAAATCTGAATAGCCAAATGATTCAGGTTACATTTCAGCAAAGGTAATCCAGCACAATTGTGTAAATATGAATGACAATTAGAAAAGACATTAAAGACTGAGAATTTACAGAAGCAGCTGATCTTCCAGGCAAGAGGTTAAGCAAATTTAAATTACATTAGTAATAGTGGGAAAAATGTATGGTAGAAACAGGAAAAGAAAATCAGGGAAGAAAATGTTTAAGACAATAGGCAATAAACTCACACAAGAATATGTGTATTTTAAAATACTGGTGGTCACTCAGGTGATGTCTAACAGGCATCTAAGTATAGAAATGAAGGAGTTTAGATCTGGAAAAAGATGTGAACATTATCTAAAATGAGGCATTAAAGCCATAATTTGCATAAAGCAACAAAAAGGTGGCAAGAGAAAGTATCCCAAAGACACTTTTAAAGCATTTGGTTCCTTTATTATTGATACAAATAACTGTCTTCATACTTTACAAGTCTCATGCTGCTGATGATGATCATCATCGCTAATTTTAACACTATCATTTTAAAACAAAAAAGCAAAGCCCAGAGAAGATTAAGAACATGCCAGGATCATATAAAACAATTAAAAAAATAGAGCATTTCGTTAATTTCCAATCTGGAGCTAATTAGACATGTTGCACATGCATGAGTGTGTCTATGTGTGTGTCTGTGTGTAAATAGTCAATAAAAACAAAAGTCCACATTTCTGAAAGCAGAACCTGAGAGCAACCAAGGTGTGATATAATTAGGAAGAACTAATGTTTAAATTCCTAAATGGTTTAATTATAAAAGTTCACAATTATCCAGTTTGATCTATGAAAAACTGTTGTCATAGCATAGTATCAAACTGTTTTCCTCTTTAAAATTTTTTTCAAAATAGTGGGAATATTTAAGTTCACTATTTTTACTTTTATTATTATTTTAATTCCAGAGAGAGAGAAAGGGGGAGACAGAGAGAGAGAGAGAGAGAGAGCGAGACGCTGATGAGAGAAAACATCGATCAGTTGCCTCCCCTATGTGCCCCGACCAGGGACCGAATCCACAAGCCACGTATGTGCCCTAACAAGGAATTTGAACCTGCGATATTTCGGCTTACAGGACAACACTCCAACCGAGATACTCTGGCCAGGGCTAAGTTCACTATTTTTAAATCAGGTATTTTAAAAGTACTGTTAAAATACAAAGGCAATGGCACCTTCACACATTAAAAAGTATGGTTTCGAGTCATACATGGGATGAAGTAGAAAAATATCTGTAATTTTCTGGTGTTAACACTTAAATGTGTTATAAATACGCCAAATGATTTTAATTAAATACTGTTCATTTTGACAAGCTTCCCCTGAGAATGGCAGAATGAGGTTTGGAGGGAAGGAAGAAGATATGGAAGAAGGTAATGATAGAAACCACCAGAATGAAAAAGAAGGGTGAGAGGAGATAGGGAGAGGAAACAGAGCTGAAGAACTAGCTAACAGAAAATGATGATGAAGACCATCACACTGCCCCAGAACAGATTTTCTAAGCAAAGCCAATGATGCAGCTTTTTGCCAGAAGTGGGGTGCGATAAAGACTCTTAAAAGTCATACAGGTTATCTAGCCATACCATAGTGCAGGCATTTTTCTCAAAGTACCTGCAAGTCAAAGGAATCTGATAGGGCAGGGATTCTCAACCAGTGTGCCACAAGAATTTTTAAAACATGCAGTACCTGACTATTTAGTCAGGGGCACTGATTTCTTTTCCCTTAGGTTGTCAAATAGAAGAATGCCAACAGCCAACACAACAATAGCCATCCAGTACAAATGAATCAAAATGATACATATTTTTGGTCAGACCGACAAAAAATATTATATATTTTTTGGTGTGCTGCAAAATATTTGTTTATGTGTGGCATGAGATGAAAAAGGTTGAAAATGGCTGTGATAGGGAAGTCACTGGCCATCAGTGACCCAAAGCAAATACATAATCTGCAATCTATCCAAATGATTAGACAAACTGAGACAGCTGATACCAACATGCATGTTAACAATTCATCAAAAAGTGTTCTGTGCTACTTTGTGACTACTTTTTATATATGGAAGTTCCTTCAAAAGGAAAAAAAAGCCCAAGTAATTTTTTAAAACTACATGTTATTCAACAACACTGTGGTTAAATTTATAAATGGCAAGAAAACTTCGGAAAAATGTGAAATACCTCTGTCTGACCTTCATGGGCACTGGTCTCATGAGTAACTCGGATAGCCTGTAATAGGAATACAAGGAATTAATAGGAAAAATATGACTATATCCTACTTTTTAAATGAAAACAACAATACTAAACGTTAACATCTAAAACACTGATGAAACAACAAATTGGAGGAAATTTAGGGAAAGTTTAATATTAAATATTTAAGAATGAATTCTGAGTAGCTAAATGAATTGTTGTACTTTCCAACCCACAAATCTCTGAAGACTTAGGATACTGAATATTGGGTTATTTGTAATTTCCAGGTATAAGGGGGAGTCATTTAACTTAATCGTTAGAACTACTTAACACTTTATTCAACTGAGACTGGAATAAAGTAGGCATCCCGCAGACGGAGACAGAAGCAGCTGGCTCATCTGTCTCTCCAGGTTACATGCTCCTCTGCAGCTCTGGCTGTATTTATGCTTAATCATGCGGCTTCAGTCAGCAGTTTAGAATCGGAGCAAAAAGCATGCATTTATCAAAAGCTAGAGATTTTAGTTTCCAGAGCTTAAAAAAATGCTCTTGTAATACCTACTATTAGCAAAGATGAAAAGAAATAGGCAAAGTAGTAAATTACAGGTGAAAGTACACCCTCAATGCATGGCAATTTGGCAGTAAGTATCAAAGCCTTAAAAACATGCAAAATGTTTGGTCCAGCAATTTTCTTCTAGAAGTTCATATAGTTACATATAATTGTACATAAGTATATATGATTATGGATATTTGCAAAGATTTAGCTACAACGATATACCTTTTAGTATTTTTTAAAAGTCAAAAAGAGAAAAAATATTAAATTTATGATAACTTATTGGTTAAATAAAATACTATACAATGAAAAGCTATGCAGCCATTAAATGATGATGTCAAATATATACTTACTGGTATGTAATACGTTTGTCATAAGTTAAGTGAAAAAAGCAAGTTATAAAACAGTATTACAGTGTGATCATATTTTTGTATTAAAAAATTGTGTACATACGTATACGTTCCCTATAAAAAATATTAATGGTGGCTACCTCTCATTGGTGGGATTACTGTTGACTTCTGTATTGTTTATTTTTATGTAAAATAAAGATATTTCATGAGGTCTGCAGGTTTTTAAAAAAAATTTTTAAATTATCAAAGTATATTACAATGGCAAAACCACATAACCTAATCAATGAATTTATTGGGAACAAACTGCATAAGGCATTGTTCTAGCCAAATAATGTGCACAATTACGCTGCTTCTTATAATTAATGTTACTTAATGTTACTAAAAAGTAAAAAGTCTAATAATGTTACCAAAGGGTAAAAAGCCTAATACAATATTATATGTCAAGTATAATTGAAAAAAATTTTTTAAAAAGGTTAAAATGCCTTCAAAAGAAAAATAGATTTCAAAATTAAAATTTAAATACAATTCTAAGAAATTCCATGAAATGGTACAATCATTTAAAACTAGATTATGTGGCCTCTTGTCTTCACAATGCAAAAATATTATGCCGATAAAAGAGTTGGAGTAGGGTCTAACATCTACCTTTAAACCTTTGTTTCTTTCCATTGGTCTTCAGCATTATTCCAAATTCCCCATGAAAGATACAAAGGGTATTGTCAGGCATGATTTATTACAAGGAAGGAATATTCAGAAATAACCTATCATAAGGTATTTTATAAATTTGTAAATCAAACTGTTTTTTTCCTATCATTCAGCTCTGGACATAGAAAAGAAGTGGTAAGTTATCAACATTTATGGGTATTTCAGTATTGTTACGTGCAAGGTACAAAATGCCTTTTTAAATGGATATGACAAAATCCACAAATGTTCAAAACTACAGTTTCAAGACAAACCCCCAAACCAAATCTACAATCCCACAAAATTTTGCCCACATATGAAATCAAGACAGATAGAAGGTACCGACGTCATAGTTTTCCAGGTATCTGGCTCGTTCTTCAGGGCTCATTGACACAGACTCCTCCAGGAATTTTTTCAAGGTTGATCCAGATTCTGAGAATATTAAGGAAGATGAAATTGAAAGAGTTTGATATCTAAAAGAGACTGATATATGGAAATAGCAGGAGCATGCTGCCTATTTTCAGGTAAAACCCTTTCACGGGTAAATAAGGAATATAAGAATATAAGGATAAATGACAGGGCTAAAGTTGTTTGCTTGTTTGTTTGGTTTTTTTGTTAAACCTCTGTTTACCAACATTATAAAAGAATGGGAAGGATTAATAGTTCTAACAGTAGCCCTAGCTAGCGTGGCTCAGTGGAATGAGCGCTGGCTTGCGAACCAATGGGTCACTGTTCCGATCTCCAGTCAGGGCCTATGCCTGGGAGGCAGGCCAGGTTCCCAGCTGGGGTGTGTAAGAGGCAATCACACCTTGATGTTTCTCTCCCTCTCTCTCATTCTCCCTCCCTTCCCCTCTCTCTAAACTAAATAAATAAAATCTTTAAAAAAATAGTTCTAACAGTATATACATCCCATTATAAATGAAAGAAGGGAGGAACAATCAATGTCCTACTCGGAAAGAAAGAACTAGAGCACCACCTAGTGCTCAATAAAATAATTTATACCTGAAGGGGTGAAAACAGCAGTAATGAAAAATTATGTACCAAAGTGCATCTTGTCTTTATTGTTGGCAATAGCATGGATCAGTCCAATTGTTCCACAGGCATTGCTGATTGTTTGTTTCATGAAATATACTGATGATGTAACATCTTGTCCCTGAGATTTTATTTTTTCTTCCTCTTCTGTTCTGAATATTTCATACTATTAAACAAAAAACCAAGTCAAAATATGAAAATAATATATTAAAAGGTACTTATACATAAAGCTTGAAAAATTCTAAATATCCATCTATGGGAATTTGGTTAACATGTTATGGAATATCCTATTGAAATAATATAAAGCATTTTTTTAAAAACAGATTTACATATTTTTACTTAGAAATCAATCTATGATTATAGAGTACTTATAAGTCAATATATTAATTTAATTCTCATATTTTTAGAATGTTTATTTTATATATGCATTGAAAAACCTGAAAGGACACACAAAAACATAACAGAAGTTATCTCTGGGATAGGAAATTACTAGAGGATTTTACTTTCTATTTTTTGCATTTCTAAATTGTTAAATCATACTATCATAAGAATATTCACATTGTATTTCTAAGCATACAATATTCATAACAAACATTGACCATTATCTCTAATAACTGGTTGCAAAAGCAATACAGTATGATGAATGTCAAAAGTATGAGCTCTACATCTGACTGCCAGAATGTACATCTTGGCTTTGCCATAATTAGCTGTGCAACTTTAACAAATTATTTAATGTCTCTGTGCCTCATTTGTAAAAAGAGGTTAAAAATGAGTGAGGAAGAGCAGGAGAAGGAAAGTAGAAAGATGACTTTATTATTCTGTCTATTGTTTTCTTATAATTTTCAGATTCCAATAGAGTAGAGAGTCAGCAAACTACAACCTGCAGGCCAAATCTGGCCAATTGCCTGTTTTCAGAAGTATGATTTTGTTTTTGTATTGTCTGGCTATTTTCATGCTAGATGCAAAGCTGAATAATTGTAACAGCGGCTGTAAGGCCTTCAGAGTTAAAAGTATTTACTATCTGGCCCTTTAGAGAAAAAATTTGCTGATCCTTGCAGCAAATGAAACAAATGTCACCTATTAAAACCCATAATTAAGAAACCACTTCTAGCCCTGACTGGTGTGGCTCAGTGGGTTGGGCCTCATACTGCAAACTAAAAGGTTGCTGGTTCAATTCCCAGCCAGGGCACGTGCATTTCTAAATTATATACATGTGATTAAATGTCATATCAAACGACCTGTGAGGCAAACCAAATATTTTTAAAAGAAGAAAATTTACTCAAGTTTCAAAGACTAACTCAGGGTTTTATTGTCAATTTATAAATCAAAATCTAAATATCATCTCTTCAAGAAAACTAGATTTTTAAGGTCCCTGCTGTCTCGATTTTTTCTTTTTATGCAGGAGGGGAGTCATTTGTTCTTAAAGAAAAATGTAATTTTTAACAGAACAGTAAGAGAGAACTTTGCATTTACTGAAGACTTTATATCTTATTTAACAATTACCTTTTCTGTAATGGGGAAGAGAAGTAACACTGCACATACTGGTCTTGGTACCATGCTAAGGAGTTCAGGATCCATTCCATATACATCAACAAACTGCCAGTTAGGATGTAGACCTAATTGTTTGAGAAACTGGTAAAAGGAGGAAAATAGATAGTGTTAATAGGGAACTAATCAACATGTAAGTACTGTCTATCTGATACATAAACGGGAAAGCAAGGTACAAATATTACTGATATTCAATAAGAATAAAGCAGGTTTCCCATAAATAGGGTAAGAAGAGATACCAATTTATTTTTATCAATTAACAAACATTTAAATCTTACTACATACTGAGCAAAACTTTTTTCAATATCCATTACTTTGGGGCTGAACATAAGCCAAGACTTCACCAAACCTATACTTGTTGGCTTGACTGATACATTAAAGCTCATTTCCAGCACTTGATTGTTAATGAGACACATCTAAGTTCTAGTCAATAATTATTTTTTTAAAAGATCAACAGTTTATCCTGCTTATCAAAAATGATGCCTGCAGTTTAAAGATAAATAGGTAGATATCACAAATCATATCAATGAGCAAAGAGTATACAAAGCCAAAAAAGTCCAATTGACTTGAATGAACATCAGACAATGTTTGCTGGAGGTAAACTACTGGCTTCCTGACCTCTGGCGCACAGTGAAGCCTACTCAACTCTACTGCCTCTCTTATATCTGGCAAAGACAGCTGTAGCAATAGAAAAGTGGTTTTTGGATTAAGATTTCATAGGAAAATAAAATGTCAGGCCCTAATCTATTACAAAGAGAAAACGTAAAATAATAATGAGAATGATATCAATTTCACAAATTCTTAACAAATGTCTGCACTGAATGAAGCTGCTGATTTTTAAAAGTGCTCCATCACAAAATAAGTTTCAGATGACAGAACAAAAGAAGAGGAAGTGGAAAAAAAAATTGAGAATTCATCAATATTCATTACCTCAAAAATACATTAAAATATCTACTGGTCTAACATTATCTGAAATTTAAAAATGAAAAGGTGCCTTGAGTATTTCTCCCTGAAGAATGATCACATGTTCTTAGATCATCAGATAAAGTCTCAGTAATCCAGTGATTTTCAACCTTTTCCAGCTCATGGCACACATAAACTGATTACTAAAATTCTGCAGCACACAAATATATTTTTTGTCCTATCTGACAAAAAAATATATTTGGACAAAAAGTAGGTATAATTTTGATTGATTTACAAAAATAATAGTAATTACCTACCTGATTTGCTCCAAAGACTGTTAAAAATCAGGTGCTTATACTTACATATAAGAATTTCTGGTACCAAGAATTAACAAATTAAATACAATCTTGTTACGCAACGTCACCAACTCTATGGCATGACCTTACACATTTATGGTTCAAGACAAGGCATTCACACTGGATGGCTATTGTTGTGTTAGCTATTGTCATTTTTTTTAATTTGACAATTTAAAGAAAAAGAGGTCAGTGCCTCTGACTCAGTAGTCAGTTATTGCATGTTTTAAAAATTCTTGTGGCACTCTGGTCAAAAGTCGCTGTGCTAAATCAATGGAAAAGCATGCCATGTCACATAGTGTTGTTCATCTCACACACAGATTCCATAAGACAAGACTTTCCTGCTTAATGGGAATACCCCTCCATTTCTCTGCCTGTAGAAGAAACTCTACTAAAGAATAACACAGTTGGCCAAAATAAGATCCTAGATATGTTCAATAAGAAATATACTGAATTAGCCCTGGCTGGTGAGGATTAAGTACCAGCTCAGTGGATTGAGTGCGAGCCTGAGAACCGAAAGGTCGCCAAAAGGGACTACCTTATGTCCCAGCAATGCCACTTCTGGATATTTATCAAAGAAATACAAAATACCAACTTCAAAAGATATACGAGGTCTGCCCAGAAAGTATCCAGCCAAGAGACATTCATTGAAGATACAAGGTACAATACTGTACATAGGACAATGATGCCTCAATCCCTTGAAAGTAGGCACCTTGGGACCTTACACAGTTCTCCTAGCATCTCTTTCACTGTTCAAAACACTCTTCAAAATCATTTGTTGGAATCTCTATCAGCTACCCTGCTGTATTTTCTGGAATCTTGATGGTCTGAAATCTCTTCCCTTTTAAAAATGATTGTTAGTTTTGGGAAAAGCCAGAAGTCCCAGGGTGCCAAATCTGGGCTGTAAGGGGAGCACAGTCACCTGGGTGATTTGATGTTTTACCAAAAAAACTCTGCACAAGACGTGATGCATGAGAGGGTTCACTGTTGTGATGAAGCTGCCAATCATCAGTTGCCCATAGCTGCGGCCTTCTGAATCATCCGAATAGTTTCTACGAAAGAATGTTCAAGCTTAATGCAAAATTTGATGCAGATTCGCTGCTTTACTCACTCAGTCATTTTGAATGCGACAGCCACACAGTACACATGCTCACTTAACGGCATCTACTGCCCCCACTGACTAGTATCGCAAAGTCATCATTGTACACGCATGTGTATTTCAATCCACTCCCTTTGGCTGTCAGGTCACACTGATGTCATGCAAACTGTTCTCGTTATAGTAACAATGGCTGGACTTTTTCCGGACAGACCTTGTATGCACTCCTGTGTTCACTGGAGCATTATTTACAACTGCCAAGATTTGGAAGTAACCTAAGTGCCCATCAGTAGACAACTGGGGAAAGAAGATGTGGTACATATATACAATGAAATGCTCCTTGGCCATAAAAAAGAATGAAATATTACCATTTGAGACAATATGGATGGACCTAGCGGATATTATACTAATAAGTCAGAGAAAGACAAATACCATATGATTTTACGTGTATGTGGAATCTAAAGAACAAAATAAACAAACCAGAAACAGACTCATAGGTACAGAGGAAAAACTGATGGTTCCCAGATGGGAGGAGCATTGGGGGACGAGGTGAAAAAGGTAAAGGGATTAAGAACTACAAACTGGTAGTTAAAAATAGTCATGGGATGTAAAGTACAGAAAAAAGCACACAGTCAATAACATTGCAATAACTAAGTATGGTGCCTGGTGGTTACTAGACTTTACAGGGGGAAAGGTATAAATGTCTCAGCACTAGGCTATACACAAGAAACTATTATAAAATAATATTGAATATCAACTATAACTGAATATTTTACTAAAAAGAAGTATTATTCAGAATAATGTGATAACCCACTATATTCAACACAGATATTCAGAGTGAATGATGATATCATTCTGGGAGGCCTACTTTATGAAGGACAATGACAAACAAAAGCAAGCTCAAAGGAAGGTGACCAAGAATGATAAGGTTTTGGAAGACATCTCAGCTGCACAGTCTAGGCATGTTCAGAAAAGACTGAACTTATTGGGGTGGTGGAGAAGGTTAGGTGATGGAGGGACTGAGCAAAAAGGAAAAAGGATTCACGGGCATGGACAACAGTGTGGTGATTGTTGGGGGGAGGGGAGTATTAGGGGACTAAATGGTAACGGAAAAAATACAATAAAGATTAAATATAAGAAAGACAAATTATTATGATCTTTATCCCCAGGTATTTTTAGGGATATCACAGAAGAGCAATTAGATTTACTCTGTATAGTTTCAATAGCAGGGCTGATGGACAACTGGAAGAAGTTATAGGAAAACAGATTTTATTTCAATAAAAATAAATGTAACTCTTCTAATTATATTATGATATACTATATTCATTATTATAAACAATTAAACTGCCTTATGAGATTGAATACTGCTCATTAAAATATTCAAGTAAAAGATTCATGACCACATTAAAGATAATTTTGAGAAAGATTCTCTGGGGCAGGAAAGCAGCTATATAATATCTATTCACTCTTCCATTCACTATTTGTTCAGAACACCTTATGGCCAGGCACCATCCTTAGTACTTCAGACATGTCTTTGCTCTGGTAGAATTTACATTCCAATGATAACATACACACAACAAACAATTTGACAAGGCAGTAAGTATTTAGAAGAAAATAAGATACAATGTCACTGCAGATTTGGGTGGTGGGGAGGAACATTAGTTGCATAATCAAGAAAAGACTGAGGAGGTGACTTTAAGTTAAGCCACGAATGACAAGAGAGAACCAGCCATGAAACAACCCAGATGAGCATGATTCTGAGGAACTCAAGAGTTTGGGAGGGAGGTGATCTAGCAAAGGCAAATTTAGGAAGCAGTCCAAGAAAAAAACAGAAAACCAGAATTATCACAGAAGCAAGAAAAGATGATGTTTTAAGAAGGATGGAGTGGCCTACTCAACAAATGTTGCTGAGAGATCAAGAAACATGGGCACAGAAAGTAACCAATGGTTCTGGCAAAGTTAACAATTAGTAAACTCAACAAAAGTAGTTATTATGAATTGGTGAGTAGAGAAGCAAGCTCAATAGAAGTGAATAGAGAAGAAAAACGGAGATGAGCAAGTAGCAACAGCTCCTATGGACAATTCTTAGTGAAAATTTTACAAGAAGGGAAACAGATATGAGACAGTAGCTAGAAGAAGAGAGGGCAACAGGGTTTTTCCCCAAGATGAGATCTACTAACTAGAGAATTTTTGTATGCTTATGGCAATAATCCAGCAGATGACCTCTAATTCTTTTTCCACCCTAAGCATCTAAGCTAAATACAGTAAATAAAGTTAAATAAAATTAAATTAATTTTCCTTTGGACATTATACATTATGCTAGAAAATATTATTTCCTCTTTGATAAAATTACCATTAGGAATATTTCTAGGGAATTTCTATGCCAGAAATTATTGGTTTTAAAACAACAATATTTAAAAAATATATAATGTGGCTATGCTGCACTCAAATCACAAACCATAATGAGGATAAAAATCTAGTGTGCTCATAAAAAGAAATGCTATGATTGCCCGTATCATAGACAGTTTATTTGAAGTTGTCACTCTTGATGCCTAATTGTCTTAACTTTCCAGGAGCTACAAGTTGCTATTATCCTTTTAAATGTACATGTAAATAAAAGAGCTTAAAATTTTAAAATAAATTCTCTATTATTTAACTGATTTCATTCTAGGTAAGCATGACAAAATATGTCAAGATGGCCAAACAGTTCTTTGGTTTCTTTCCCGTATGATGGCTGTAGTAGCACTTAGTTGTCTTTAACTTCATTTGAAACAGTTTTGTTAGATTTTATTGTGACAGCTGTCATTCATCATGCATTAAAAAAAATTATCAAAAATGGTGAATTTTTGTGTAGCTATTTTAATATTGAAGAAGGAAGAAAATACTCAACATTTTTGGCATATTATTATTTCAAGAAAGGTAAAACCACAACTGAAACACACACAAAAAAGATTTGTGCAGTGTATGGAGAAGGTGCTATGACTGATCGATTGTGTCAAAAGTGGTTTGCAAAATTTTGTGCTGGAGATTTCTCACTGGATGATGCTCCACAGTCAGATAGACCAGTTGAAGTTGACAGCGATCGAATCAAGACAGTAACTGAAAACAATCAACATTATACCACATGGGAGAAAGACAACATACTCAAAGCATCTAAATCAATAAAGTTATTGGTGAAAATGAAAAAAAAATGTATCTTTTATTTTAGGAAGAAAACAAAACTTTTTGGCCTACCCAATACTTTGAAGGGATTGACAACATATTAACGGGGAAAAGAAATCACCTACTGAGACACATGGTTACTAGTTAATGTCTAACAGTTAATAATGATCTGTTGATCACTCTTATACAAAGTAGGCATCATTAAAGCATAAACAATTATTTGATCAAACTAAAAATACAATAATAACACATGCAACTAACGAGTGGTAACACTGTGAAATCAAGATAAGTGAAAGACCTGCTATCCCACTGACTTGAGAAAATAAGAGAGGGTGGGGATGGATACTGTTGCTGGGATTTATCTGTGGCTTAATTCTATTAATTCTCCAAATCCTGAGTCAATTAATTAAATTTCTATTCATTTTCTATCCTTGGTTCTACCAGAAATAAACAACCACAAAAATTGTGATTAAAATTAATTGCTTCCTAGATAATTGCACATTCTCCCACTAAAAGTGTATCACTTCTTTATAAAATGTTTTTAAACTGAACCACAACAAAACATGCTAGAAACAGTATACAATCGTACACTAAAAACATCTTCTCTCTGTTTATGTCACCTCAGAATGGCCCTGGTCACCTGCTATGTTTTTTCCTGATGGTTTCCATCACAGTGTCCTGTTAATTTTTTTCATCGCACCTATAACCACTGTTAATTACAGCCCTACCTCAGTACTCATCAGCTTCGGAACTCATCAAATCCTGTATGTGTCACATTTTCACCAGAAAAAAACGTACCAGCACTCGTCGCTCGCTAGGGATACTTGCTAGAATTTGTATTAGTCACTACACCTCCCGGCAAGAGAAAACGCTTCATCATTCAGTACTCATGGGTTTCCGCACTTGTCGGGAGTTCCAGAACAAATTAACAACGAGTACCGAGGTACCACCGTATTTGCTTACTTTTCTGTCTCTTCCCACTGGACAGAAAAGCAGGAAACTATGAATGTTTTAATCACCAAAGTGTAACAACCTCCAGAAAAGATGCCCGCAACATACTAATTAATGTGAGTAAGTGAATGTTTCTTATAGCTTATCCAGACTACCTAGGAACAAGGTCCAATAATAGTTGAATAGAATATATTTCCACTAATACAACCTTATATCTTCTTAATAGAAATAATGCCATCTAAAAATAGTTTTGTTCTTTAGTCTGTTAATATAGTTAATTATGTTGATTGACTTGAATGGTGAACCAGCTTTACAATACCAGGATAAACTGTTTTGGTCCTGATATCTTATCCTGTTATATATTGCTCCATTCTCTTTTCTAATAATTTGGTGAGGATTTTCAGATCTCTGTTCACGAGGGACATTTGTTTTCATTTTTTGTTATTATGGTTTGTCTGGTAATGCTGGTCATAAAATGAGTTGAAAAATGTCCCCCTTCCTCTATGTTTATGTAGAATTTGTATTTTTCTTTTTTAAATGATCATCTCAAGAGATGCAGAAAAGTCATTTGAGAAAATTCAACATTGATACATGGTAAAAACTCTGACCAAACTAGGAAATGAACGGAACTTTCTTAGCTTGAAAAAAACATTTACTTAAGCCTTATAACTAACATCTTTAAAGATGAAAGAGCAAATGTTTTTCTCCTAACATCTGAAACAAAGCAAAAATGTTCTGTATCTCCAGCCTATTCAATGTTGCAGTAAGAAATAAAAGGCATAAAGATTCAAAAGGGAGAAATAAAACAGTCGATTCAGAGAATATGATTGTCTATATAAGCATCTGGGGGAGGGG